CCTGAGGAGCTTTTGGGGGGTCCTGAGAAGCTCTGGGTGCTCCCCAAGCCGTCGCAAATCAGGATGGGAGCTCAGCAGCGGCCTGGGGGGGTGACCTTGTCCCCGCTGTGTCCCCAGAGCCACGCCCGGGTGAGGACCCGAGCCGAGGTTCGGGGCGGGGGCCGCAAGCCCTGGGGCCAGAAGGGCTCGGGCCGGGCTCGCCACGGCTCCATCCGCTCGCCGCTGTGGCGTGGGGGTGAGTGACCCCAAAACAACCCCCTAAACAACCCCAAAACTACCCCGAAACAGCCCCAAAACTGACGGGCTGGGGATGTCCTGGGCCTGGGGACATCAGACCCGGCTGTCCCTTGCTTTGGGCTCTCTGGGGACACCCTGGGGACATCAAGGCCACCATGCCCCGCCTGTCCCCCCCGCCCCTACACACCCTGGGCCAGCAGGGGTTTGTCACCTCCCCGTGGATGTCCCCAAAGTCCCCTCCCTGCAGGTGGCATCGCCCACGGCCCTCGGGGCCCCACCAGCTACTTCTACATGGTGCCCATGAGGGTGAGGGTGCTGGGGCTGAAGGTGGCCCTGACCGTGAAGCTGATGCAGGTACGGGGGCGTCCAGGGGCGGGTTGGGGACACCGGGAACACGGGGACAGGGTGACAAATGTCCTTGGTGTCCCCCAGGACGAGCTGCACGTGGTGGACTCGCTGGAGCTGCCCAGCAGTGACCCCCGGTACCTGCAGGACCTGGCCCGGTTCCGGCGCTGGGGACGCTCTGTGCTCATCGTGGATGTGTGAGAGAGGGGACAGGGGACACTGGGGACACCTTGGGGACACCCTGGGGACACCCTGGGGACATCAGGGACAATCTGGGATGGCGGGGACAGCAGGGATGGGGTTTCCGTGGAGCTGGGGACACCTTGGGGACATCAAGAACCACCCTGGGGACACCAGAACAGCGTGTCCCTCCTTTGAGGACACCTTGGGGACTGTTTGGGGACAGCTCAGTGTCGCTCCTAACACCCTTTATTTTTATTTTTTTTTTATTTTTTTAACCCTTTCCCAACCAGGAACGAATTCCCAGCCAACATCAGCGCCGCCGCCGAGGGGCTCAAATCCATCACCCTCATCCCAGCCCTGGGTGAGCCCCGCCCCCCCCCTGTACCCCGGCCCCACAGACACTCGGGGGGGACCCCGCTGATGTCCCCAAACTGTCCCCGAACAGGGCTGAACGTTCACAGCCTGCTGAAGCACCAGAGCCTGGTGCTCACCCTGGACGCCGTCGCCTTCCTGGAGCAGCGGCTGCTGTGGCACGACCGGCGTTACTCGCCCCTCTACCCCTTCTGCTTGCCCTACAGGGACCTGCCAGGGCCCCCCCGGGCTGCCTGAGAGCCCCCCGGATTTGGGGAGACCCCTCCCCAGACTGGGTGGGACCCCGCCATGGGGCAGGATCCAGCCCCGATCCTATTGGGAAAAGATTTTGGGACTTTGTTTTGTCCCCTCTCCACGTCCTAAAGGGATTCCCTGGAGCCCCCCAAGAGGGATTTGACCCCCCCCTGGGCTGGGGGAGACCTCCCCGGGATGAGAGAGACCCCCAGATTTGGGGAGACCCCTCCCCATGGGGCAGGATCCAGCCCCGATTTCCATTGGGAAAAGATTTTGGGATCTCGTTTTGTCCCCTCTCCATGTCCTGGACCCACCCCCTCCCCCCCAAAATGGGATCTGAACCCCCTGGGATGGGGGAGACCCCCCCCCATATTTGGGGACCCCTGGGATGGGGGAGACCCCCCCCCATATTTGGGGAGACCCCTTCCAGTTGGGATCTGGACCCCCCAGACTGGATCCAGCCCCAAATCCCATCGGGAATTCGGGGCTGTCGGGCACTGCTGTGGCGATTAAAGGGATTTTTTGTTTTTTTTTTTTTATTCCCACGGATTTCGATTTGATTTTGGGGGATTTCGGGGCTTTTCACTTCTTTTTGGGGTTCCTCCTGTATCCCAAAATCCCCCGAATTCCAACCCCTTTGGAATTCCTGAGCCTTTCCCAGCCCCTCCCTCCTCAGCAGAACCTCGGGGTTTGATTTTCTGTGGGTGGAATTTTGGGAATTTTGGAGTCTCAGTGGTAAAGGGAT